CACTCGGCGATCCAGAAGTCTAGTTTCAACCCGGCATTCTCACAACCGGACAGTGGTATTGAGAGCATGAAGGAAAACGCCAGTCCATTTATCCGCACCGGCTCTCAGCGGAGCAGCATGCGTGTTCTGGACCGACGGAGCACCCGACGTCGACCCCCAGGCCTCTTACCAAATGTCCCAGCAATCCCCAAGGATGTCTTGCCCAAGCAACCGGATAGTCCACAATTGTCAGACGAGAGTCCAATTGAACGGTATGAAGCTAGCGGAGAGGCCGGTAGCGAGTCGAATTTATCCGCCGAGAATTCACCTCTAGATGGATTTCAAGGTTACAGTGCCCGGCGGCGGAACTCTCACCGAAGCGAAGCTTCTGGGCAGTCACGCAGTGAGTGTTCCAGTTTTCACTGTTTCATTCGAATCTTTGTGTGTTCCATAGCCAAAGTCGTATAGAAAACGCTTAAGTTTATTTTGTAGCGTTTGCTACCGTTGAAGTACCGACAATCGCTCACTTTTATATTACCAAAAGGATTACCTGGGCATTTAATTGGTAATTGGTCTTGTACTCAGTAGGTGCTCGTTTTTCTGGTCAGACAATTCAATACTGTCCCATTTTGTCGATCGCCGTTCATCCTTCCAACGAATAGCGTATGACAATCAGAGGGCAGCATAATTGAATCAGTCATACCGTTCGCTTCTGTTTTTTCAATAAATTCAGTGGACCACTTGAGTCTCAAAAATAGAATATGCTTCAGAAGCTGGACCCAATCACAGGTCTTTTTAACTACTAGAACACCTTAGGCATTTCACCATAAGAAGAGATTCAACCCAAAAACATTTATTGAAATACACGACAGGAAAAGGACTTCAAATATCATCATTTGCACAGAAATTTTCCGCCATCCTCGTTCACGTAACCTATGGAAACCAATACCGCCCCTACCAAGGAAGAAGTTAACTGAGAAGTCACTCGTTTTTAGCCTTAGCTTGCTTACTACGAGTTCTATTCAGTAAGAACGGAGGCTTAGCTCCAGCACTATAGTAGGAAGTTGATGTCAAGTATTTCTACAGTATTTAGCGCAGTCCCTGATATTCCGGATGCAAAAAAAACAGATCCCATACAGATTGCACCGAGGCTTATCCTAGTCCCGTAAATGATTCTGTCATCTGTTCTCCCTAAGCCTTTAACATGGCAAAGTAGCACGGCTGTTCAAGCACATGGAGTCGAATTTCACCGTGGGAGGTCTGACTTCAAAAGCTGGTTAACTTTTCCGCTAACTACTAAACTGGCGGCACTCCCACAAAAAACAAACCATCTTTTTATACTCTAACCACTAGGGGCGCATTCGATTCCATTCCATCGGAATAGCCTAATAAAAGTGATGTACTCCCGACGCATGTTAGTATTCTCGAAAAATAAGAAACATCCGAAGAAGTAAATGTATGCGGTGACTTGTCTTCAGTGGTTTTCAACAGAACTGTCCTATTTTCCATTTTTTGATGAACCTTACAATGAATACGGTCCTACCGATGGTTTTGGAGGAGATATCGGAGAAGGGCATCAAATTCCTAGCAAGACAGAGGGAGATAAATGGGCGCTACGGAACGTCGAATATACCGACAGTTGCATGTTGCTCCTGACATACTGAACCTATTTGTCAATTCGGATCCAATCCGGCCCCTATCTCGGTATGTTGTTTATCCCACGGAAGTAACTTCATCTATTTTGACTCACCAGACCGTGCGCGGGCAAACCAATGGAAGTAGCTGAATGTTTCTTCTGCTTGGGATATTGGATCTCCGCTTCTGGCATAAAGGCTGAAGCGTCGAACCGCATCAACAGCACACGAACCGCGTTCGCAAATTCACGCCCCACCGGACACCGAGAAAACGTCACACTGTCTATGAAAGATTATGTTTACAACTTTGCAGTTAGAACGGTACTGCTCTATGGGTTTTTGAAACCTATGATATCCGGGTGGAAAAAATTCGAATTTCATAATTTCGATAATGGTTGTTTGTGCACACTGCATACGCTTCGTGGTGACAGCGCGTCTGCACCGACGGAATTCGACTGTCCACATTCCAGGTTTACGGCTGAACACAAGTTATCTGAACAACTAAGATGGCAAAAGCAAACAGGATTGTCGAAACGCGTGCTGTGGTTTGTTCACCTGTTTGAAGAACATGCATAGTTGCTTTATTGTGTCGTAGACTAAAAATGCTTTGTTTTACCATTGCGGAGTGCTGGCAGCTCCCTTATCGATCCGCCGAGAACCCATCGTAATGGGGTCTAACGTTGCTTGCCACCGCAGGTCTTTTTTAATTTCTGTTTACATTCGTTGCGGTTCTATCAAATTGTATTGCTGGACCAAAACACGATTTATCTGGATCGATTTTTCATCCCCGCGCGTTTGTCTAATAGTTTATTTTCTGTACACCCTCAGTGCCCTTGTTGTTTTGTGTTCTATGAAGTCGTCTACTTCGTGCATTGCAGCAATAGCCTATACGAAAATAGCTTTTCTCATCCGTTTGCGTTATTTGGAAGCAGTATGCTACCTGGGGTCAAGCTGTGATGAGAGTATTCTACTTGATCGCTTTCGATCACTGTACTATAGGTAATCTACATTTTCATTCTGATATAAGCTTATAGGAATCGGAAAACAACACTGAATGAGTCGACATTCAGCTTGGAGAGGAGGTACCACATAGCAGTGATTTATAACCACGTCATTTTGGAAACGATTGATTCTCGAATCTTAATCATACATAAAGCCGCACCATTTAAATGCCAGTCCTTGCATGGGTACACTTCTCCTACGCGGATTTTAAAGTTTATTTTAGAAACACTTCACAGAGAAAATCAATCTATCATCACATAAATCAGCCTCCTCGAATTAGTTCATCCGAGGGTAAAAGTGTTCTACTTACCGCGGACCGCGTACTATAACAATTAGATGATTGAATTCTTTCGTGCAAACATTACACAGTTCGTTTCTTGTCCGTGCCGCATCTTCGAGGACAGCAATTCTGTTATGGTAATTGTGGGCACAGAGTTTGCTTACCTGATCTGTGGTGTGTCAATCTGTTCACCTCATTTCTATGCGTATCATGCGTCGCATTTTCTGTTATAATCACATCCAGTCCTCATTTGTGCTTACTCAACAGTAGAGGAACAGTTACGCCAGCACGCTAACCACGAAGGACAAATAAAACACGATTATTTGATCTGAAGCGTCTCGAGGGGGATAACGCTTAGATCTACACGCTTCCTAGATTGACCCCGTTGAAACAACTTGAATGTGTCTATCCAGGCAGCCTGTATGTCCCACTTACTCTCTTACACCTGCCTTATACTGACTGTACAGAGCAGGGGTTGATTAAGAGGAAACCAAATTGATCACAGACGCCTTAATCCTAGTTTCCAATGTGATTTAATTCATTTCAGATCTCTGGTTTACAACTTCCGCAATCTGCTCAAAGTCAAGGGGCTGTGGTCGCCTGTTTCCATGACTGAAAAACAGGTCCCCGTGCCTATGAGATCTGACTCATCTGCTGTTCATCACACCAACAACTACTGAATCAAAACGACCGTAACCGGATGAATTCATGCAATACAACAGCATACCAACCGAGATCATTATCTGCTATATGATATCTATACCTCTCCATTTATAGTTCTTGAGAAACACGGAAATAGAGGAAAACCGGTTGATGGATTTAACCGTTCAGTTCGATTATTGTTTTCATAAACGAATCGTAGAGTGAGTAAGACAAATGATTATAAATCCATGTCCGATAAGTCACTGATCAACGTAGGCCCTCCATTCATAGTATTAGAACAGCCAACTGTTTTTTAGGAGGTCCAATAAGAAACGCAAGCAGTTGGCGCCAAGTGAGCGATGCGGTGATTTCATTTGCTGAGTAACAAGATCCGATGATTTCTAACTTGCAGGAAACCACATGGATGGACATAACACTAATTCCAACTGCAAAAACCATCAAGAGAAGACATTCAGTATCTGAAACCTCAGATATTTTTTAATTTAATTCGTTCATTTTTGCCCAACAGTATTGAAGCGATGCTACCCGATGATCACCTACTTAAACAAGCATGGTCGAAAATTTCTCACACACAACTATCGAACTGATGGAAAACGTCACTTGTGAGACAAACCAATAAGCACACTTACTTTCTGTTTCCAATTTGCTGCGCTCATCCAACATGCCTGAAAAATGTAATAAAAATTGTATGACAGAAGTAAGGCGATAATATGTGGCACTGTGAGGAAACGGCTATCAATTCATACACTGGCGAAGCTCAAACCAAATCATGTCAATCCAAAGGGTTCACCAGAGAGAGAGAGAGAGAATCGATAAAAGACTAAGAAAAGAACCATATTATTGACGGAAAGGTGTTCCAATTTCGTTGAACAAATCAGAAAAGGAACGCTCTCCGATCAAACACTTCAACCTGGAGTACGTCGAACATTTTGCGTTGAAGCATACATCAAGTCAGGACGTGTAGGACCAGAGTCAGAAAGATATAGCCGCTAATGCACGAATTAACTCCCGGGAGTTAATCGACGCACCGTAGTGGGGGCTTCTCCAGCAAGTCACTTGAGGTTCTCAGGGTACGTTTCCTTTTTGTGAATTTAACAGCGCGCTAGTTACCGAGGTGCTGTTAGGGATTTTCCTTTTTACACTCTGTAAAGATCAATCAGTTCGAACAAAAATTCACCATGCCAGTCAATTCAACATTCAATCAGTTTTTTGGGCAGAATGAAGATTGTAATGTTGAGATTAAATTCAAGTGGAAGATAGAGAATTTATATAAACTGATGTTGCAAGAATAATGAGTAGATGTGTGAGCGCCAATGCCGGCAACACCTCGTCATGTCGCTTAGTGTCTCTAACCATCGGTGATCACGATATCGAAGTCCACATAGAGGGAACTTAACGGGGCTTGTGACTTCACTCATATACAGCATCATGTGATATAATCCATGTCCCCACAACCATCAGTATTCGCCCATTACTCCTGTCCTACTTCTTGTTCCACTAGCCCTTGGGGAACATGTGGTCTATAGATAGCATGGTACGTTTTGGTGACCTATTGGTACCAGCACATCTGCTTACGTCTGTGATCTGTGCCCGCCCTCCCTCCTCCACCTCGTCTAATATAATTGAGTATTATTCATTCCGTATGGGCCCTTATGTCAAATTGTTTCTATTGAACTGCCCGCTTCTCCTTGAACCCTCGTTTGAACCGCTTAATTTCGCTCCATCACATATTGTGTACTCCGTGTCCCACATAGATGCACTCGAACATGCATTACTGATAGACGACGGTGAACATAGACCGATCGACTGCGATTAGTCAGTTTACCCCTTTAAACACGCTGTTCCGTTTGATTTTAGACGTTCTTTGTTCTGCCGGTGCCTATCGAGTGACTCGAATCCCGTTCTATTTTGTCAAATGTTGCCTGGTTTCAGAGCCGAATAGCTCATAACGTGGGGTATGTTCTATGCATTGTTTGTCCATCTATGCCTCCGTACACATAGATTACCGAACTCATGTTTCATTTATCTGAACTAGGGATTGCATTTTCGGCGCATGTCTCTATCACTGGACGTTAATCCGATACACAGCCAATGAGAAAACGTGAAAGTAGAGGGGATAGTGCTTATCGCCCAGAGATCACTCGAATTCGTCGAAACCTTTAATTACCTCCGCTCAATCATAATGACCAACAGCCAGGCCATAGATGAGGTACAACTAAGCGTCGATCCTGCCAAAAAGGCGCTTAAACAGCTGGAGAATTCGCTGTACTGTAGAAACGAAATTAGCCTATAGACCAAAATTCGAGTTTTATCTGTAACAGTCCATCCTGTCTTGCTGTAAGAGTGCGAAGCTTGGCCACTAACAGTTGAAAATTGTCAACGATTAAAATTCATTGATCACCGGTGTCTAAGAATCATTTTAGGAGTTAGATGGAAGGATCACGTCCCAAATGAAGGGACCAGAAACCGATATTTTAATTTCACACGGTTATGCGAACCCATCCAGCGGCGACGACCCCAATGGTTTGCACGCACTGTTTAAACCAGACCTGAATAAAGCTACCTCAGCACAGTCTACGTGCCAAAACTGGTACTGTCGACTCAGCGAACAGCTGAAAATCTCGTTTTGACACCGGACACAAGAACGAAGCATACCACGATCTCCGATCCATATACGGCAATTGTCAATGTAAGTTGTGCTGGATCATAATCTGAGCGGATCTTGCTGTGGACCACGTAGCGTGCGCAGCTGCATTTCGGGATATCTATTAGGCTGGCTTATCTTCTCTCAAGAGTCAAACGTCGTAAATTATGGTAAGTAAAGATGCGGAGGAAGACAACAATATTTAAAACAGGTAGAATAGCTCCGTGAATGCAGTATAAACTCTGCTGTACACCTAGCTCTTACGTCAATTCAGATGAGGAACTCCGGTCGTAGAAATAGCTTCCCACCAATGAGACGTGCTGGATTACCTTGTAAGTAATGCCTACTATTCTGTATCATAAGAATAACCTTTATCTCCACCCTATGATTTTGTAGACAGTACTGCAGCTCGGCAATGAAAGTGATTTCGTACGACTCCTCCGGTTACAGACGCATGTAAGTCACTAACAACGCATGCACACGCTATCATGCTGTACTTTCTTTTTCCCTATATTAGTCCACATTTCTTACTTGTTTCAATACTGGATAAGCTGAATCAGATGAGTAAAACATTGAAAAAAGCTACGAGAAGATGGTAAACCGAGATAACTGATACTCCTTCACCAGATTTTGAACTACAATCTAGCTAAAAAAAATAAAAAGGAAATCATGATTCATCGTAGCTCGTTTTTGTACCAGTATAGAAATAAACAAACAAACAGTGCCAAAATCTATAAACGCGTGGCAAAATACCCATAGCAACATCCAGGTGTAAGCAGATTGCGGAAGTTGTAAACCAGAGATCTGAAATGAATTAAATCACATTGGAAACTA